TCCGAAATGAGAAGTGAACTACCATGTTTCAATTTGGAAATGTATTTATCTTGAAGTAAATGGTATTGCTCTTCTGGCAAGTAGTAAAAAGTTGTACAGAAACCTCATCTACCCACAGCATCCACTTTTCTCTCTCTATTCCAGAAACATTCCTAACAGCCAGTCCTCTGTTTCTTGCTCAGGCCTCCCTGTGAAATAACCCCAAAGAACACTTGTATTTCGTTGTATGTCATCCTTCTATCGGCCTTCAGTTTTTTTCACACGTGTGTGCAAAGTCCTGTGTTGATACAGGCCTTGATAGAGCCTTCTAGCCTCCATCTCCTGTAGCCTCTGAGCTCTCAGGTGTAAACCCAACAGTTGCTCCAATCTGTACCCTAATGCACAGTACAATTTTATGCTATATTAAATGTTTTTCTGAAGTGAGGGTTGTGCTTTTCCACTTGAGTGTAGGAACTGAATGTGTCCTCTGATCGCCAGTGTTGGAATTGAGAGTCATTTGGGCCGCTGGAGCATGACTGCATTTGAGTACCCTAATGTCTGCACATGGGGAGGGTTTTGTGCCTGTTGGTACTGGCTGACTTGATGGATTTCCTGGTTATGTTTTAGTAACTAGATCTTGTAGTTATGCTTGCTCAAATAATTTGCAAGTCAATTGGGCATGGATTAGGGGAAGGTGAGTGGAGGCATTGATAAGGAGAGAACAGTACTTTTGTGGCTTTTTTGGTGTGCTGGGAAAAAAGAGGACAGCTCAGAAGCGATGTTCTGGGGACCCCTTTAACCAACCTCCTGTGGTGGAGTTATCTGTGGTTGTGGAGAAACTGGACTGAGCTGCTCCACCACGGGTTCTTCTGAATTAATACAGCCCATCTGACTCCACAGGACTGTTCCCTGCACACCCGGAGAGACAAAGTGCCATGCTTGGAAGCTGTCTACTGGCTTCCTGATGAGCAAGTTAGTTGGCAAGAGATTTGTGAGCAGTCTCTGGTGTGGGTCCTGCAGATTTTCAAGTGCTTCGCAAACCTGCAGCCCAATGCAGGAGTTGCTGCTAAGAAGCTGTTTGTTGCTGGCACGGAGGATGCTCTGATCCTAGCGATGTGTCTGAGCTCCATAGCAGCTTATTCAGGGGCGTACCGAGTAGCTCTGCCTTTTGCTTAGGAGAGAATAGCTAAGGAATTACTATAAAATGTGTATTTCTTTCACGCTGTAACCACTGGGATGAAGTGAAAGATGAAGGCAGAGTTAACTGCTTGTGGCGTAACCTGAACAGTTCTCAAGTAGTGATGCCTATTTTCTAGCAATTGCAGCAAAGTTGTTATTTTGGAGTTTTTAAGTGTTTTACTATTGTCTCTCTTGCATATGCATATCAGAATGAGTTTTCAAAGTCACAAAATGCATATTTACAAGTTCTTTAGTCACATTACACTTCAATTTCAGTTCATGAATCAGCCTTTTAATCTTCTAGAGTAGCTGAGCCCAAGTAACAAAACATCTTTCACTGTGCTTCTGGGAAATAATGTGCATTACAGGACTGGCTAAAAAGCTAATGGTGAAAGCATTAGAGATTGCCTTGTTTTGGCTAGAGGAAGAGAGACTAGGGTCAGAGACCGGCCTGGAAGTAGGGGATGGTGGAGTATGCAGAACTGTGTATTGAATCTT